GTCAAAAACGTCTCAAAAGCAGTTTCATGGAAAATAATCCTGAAGACTCAAGGCCAAAGAATTACATGGTAACAATACTTGATAAATGGTTTTTTGACTGGCGCCTATAAGATTTCTAGAAATAGACTATAATGCGATTAGATGACATAGCTTCGGTGGTACCGCACACGCACATTCTTCAGCTTGAAGTGCGAGTGCGCCCTCCTATTGTGTCGTCCGCCATGCTTCTAAAAAGGCTAATTTGTCCTCAGCGTCACTAAGAGCCCGAGAATGCAGAGGCAGAATAGCCCCTCCCCCCAGCTGTACTGCCTCTACATAGTCGGCTCAAACAGATAGACCTTCGTGAACGGCACAGCATTGTCCATAGTAATTTGCCAATCCTCCGTTGAGGCTTCTCATTGTGAAAACTTTGTTTGGACAAAATTAACAAATTATCACATTGAAACTCTTTGTATGTGCTCTAGCAGGCTTAAACCGAATAAAACAAAACGAAATGCTACATAAATGTGAAATTTAGCCTCAAAGTGGTTGCCAAGAAGGTAAACTATTTCCATTTTCAATCGATCTCTAAGTCTTTTTTCCACTTAATTTCTCTCAGTTATGGAAGTTTTCCCAGAACAGTGAGACACTGCATGTACGACAGGCCAGAATCTCAACCACACAATACAATCAGTTTTATTCAGCTAGATATTTTTGTTTGACTTTCACAAGTTATTTTAGACACTTCAGCGCAGTGCAATCTACGTGTTTTACATGCACAAAGCCGATCCAGCCAAGTACCGAGCACTGAACACTACATCATGTTACATGCGTCCCGTCGTACATGTACATGGAAATTATGCGCCAAAGCTTGGTACAATCATGTGGTTCATGCATGTATAGTACATGTCAAACTAGGGATATATACCGTGAATTTATACATTTCCTGGCAATGTTATAATGACAGATAGACCTCGGTTTCAAGAATAAACTTCATGTTAACGTACTGTACGTTTGTGTTCGTGTTTCGTTCCCGAGTCACTGAATTCTTACGCTCGCAATTAAGGCCGTAAAAGATTATGTGGGATAAACGGAATCGGTGCTTAGTAAGGTCGATATGCAAACGCGTCCGGTCAGGAAGAGAAAAAAATACGCATAACCGTCAGCAAATCTAAAACCTTTACAACTCTCTCCCACCACAGCCAACTTTTGAAAATTTAAGCAAACTTCGAATTTTTTGTTTTGAGCCTTCAAAAATCGCATCAAAATGTAAACTACCGCTTACAAAAAGAGCTTTTAAAAATCACTAGTTTTGACACTCTGGTACTGTTCTCAATTTTATTTTCGCAAACTATTTTAAGAAAAGGCCTTATCTTACTGCGAAATTATTTTTGTGCAGGAATTTTTATTTCCAAAAAGTGAGAATTAGACGCACATTTCATGAAATGAAGCAGCTGCTTGCCTGGCACGAATTCTCATGGCCCTCATTACGTATGCAAATGACCTTAAAAATGGGACATGCGCAGTTCATATTTCCTCTGAAACAAACGTGAACATACGTTTAAAGCAAACATTTCAGAGGATAGACTTGATTCCGAATAGCTATCATATGTTGGAAGAAGGCATGTTTCACTGAGGTGCATTTTTGAGCCTGATAAGACAAAAATGGCCGTGTGGCTTTCTGTGCTCGCTTGAAATCTTCAGTCATGTTCTGGTAACACGATTTCTTGTCTGCTAAGTCACTCCTTTGGCCGTCTTTCAGGCCCTCCCCTTTTCTGCTGATTTAGTCCATATCAGCTCGTATGCTACCCATCCAACAGCTGTTTATTGTAATTTGCATTCTGAATTATTTCTCCATAAGTTGGAAACTTCATGTGACTACAGTCGTCTTTGTATATGTATATTTCTGGGTCCGTTCTGAAGGGGGGTTGGGGGTCTGGGTCCGTGCGCACCTGGACGTATTCAGTCAACGCTCCACAACTTACGCACGTGGACTCAAAGAGCGCTGAATACGCGTCAACGGAGAGGCGCCTGCAGGAATTAACACTGCGAGGGGTCACTCCACAGACATTTATGGGCAATACGCAGTGACGTAAATTGGGGGGGGGTGGGAGAGGGGAAGGGGGTGATATGAAAATTTAAAAGGGGGAGGGAGTTGACACCATATTTCTCTATGTAGAGGTCGATGTTCATGATAATTGCTAATGTATATCTGTAATTCAAAATGGCATATTTATGGCTTTTTATGGTTCTCCTTTTTTGAGCGATACTAAAAGAGGGGGATGATTCAATAGCCCATCCCCCAACCTAAAAAGTGTGTGTGTGTGGGGGGGGGGCTGGGGGTAATATATACTCCGGGATGTACCACGCTGCCAATACCTCATCCCCATAGACCTAAAATGTATATCCATTGATCTCCATTATAGAGATCAGTGCCAGTTTTATGGGGCAGTCATCTTGCTTTTCTACCATTGTAAGCATTGTATAAACCAAACTGGAGCTAGAAGAAAAAACAGAATGTTTCCTTTTCTCAGTACTCGAAGATGTACTACTATTGCCAATGGTTCTACATGGAACGAGACAAATATGGCGGCTAGAGCGCTGGCTTATGTACAAAGTGATGCCTGCTGGGCGCATCCATGTTTGTGCACAAACCCATTGAAAACTCAAAATTTTATTACGGCTTTTGTGCCGTTATTTGCATAGCCTATCTGCGTCTGTGTTCTTAAACGATACGTCAACAAAGTTGATACCATTGATCTCTGCAATAATATAATGGAAACCAATATTATTATGGTGGAGATCAATAGATACTTAAAAAACTAACAGGCAATCAGTAATGAGCGTTTCATTTTGTTCTGCGTAAACAACACAAACGCATGCAAGTGTGCGCAGCAGCGGGGGGGGGGGGGGCGGAAGGGCGACAAGCGCCCCCTACGTTCAAACTCTTCTCATTCAGTACTGTGCAGCGATGGCGTGCACATCCTTTGTTTCTTAGCTGCGTGATGATGGACCACAATCCACGAACAGCCGGCAATAATTAATTTCAACAGTGATTCGGCGTGTTTAAACCCGTATGATATATTTCTTATATGGGACTTTAAATTGTATCCAAAAAGATAATTTTCGAGATGAAAATTGTCTCGGGGAGAGATATTTTGTTTACCTGCATTATCTTTTTGACTGTGCCGTGCCAACTCGCCAACGCGTTGCCCGGACACCCGTTGTTATGCATGGATTTAGGGGTGTTAATTTGAGACCACAGCGCAGTGTGTGCATTATAAACGTGTTTGCATGCAGGATCTATAGCTGGATCGAGAACATGAAATGGAAATCCTTTTCTAGAATCCCCGACAAACAAACGGCTGGTGTACATATTGAAAAAAGAAAAAGTTCTTCAATAATCCCAGTAGATAATGGAAACGCTGGAGATTGTAACTTTAAATGAAACAGTTCCTTATGAGAACCCCCTTTTAATGAATGGAATAGGCTTACAGACCGTTGTGCGCACATCACTCGCAAACCCCTTCCGTACCCCCCTTCGCTGCCGTGACTTTTTAAATCGGATTTAAGCGGTACCCGATGCGCGTTGCCTTTAGGGGACATAATTCTACGGTGGCTGATCTCTGCCAGGAATACACTTTATTATTTTACGGCGTTATAACGCCCTATTACGACGCAATAACGCTCTACGGCGTCCACGCAGTAGTACACGTGACTTCGCTTATGCGCATACTATTTGCAGTTACTGTGGCCATCCTTGGACGGTTCGAATCTTGCAAGGTATGTGATAAAAGCCCCTTTGTCTGCAGGGAGCAGAGCGTTATTACGCCTTAAAATAGGGCGTTATAACGCCGTAAAATAAAAAAGTGTATTCCTGGCGAGGATCAGTCGCCGTTTAATTCGATGTTCACTCTATCTGATTTCAGTTGTTCTACAAGCAAGCACATAGCCTCTGTCAAGGCGTTCGTCATTAGCAGCATCGCACTGTATATGCTAGCTATCCGTTTCAGTCGTTGTGTTCGGTGGGAAAAATCAAGGCGAACAGCGACCTCACGGGGGTGGCATGATATGCAAATCAGCTGAACCCTGACGAAAGCCATGGTTCAACCGCCTGCGAAAGCTTATGTTTTTCTTTATTTGTAGCACGATTTCTTGGGACAGACCCCGTATGCAAACATAAAATGAGTGTTGTCTGAAGGGTCCAGTCACAGCTTGGTTCTCGTGCATAATGCATGATTAAGATGTGCAAAGGTGGCGGATCCTTCGGGTCGGTTTGCCACACGCGAATATTTTTTTGTAGGTGGGTGAGTCGAAATATATGAATTATTCATGAGGTCTAGTGCTCAACTGAACTCCAATGACTCAGCATATGGGTGCAGACCAGTAAATCAGTTGCCATAGACAAGAGTGATAAATATCCCCAATTAAGAAAATCAGGAAAAAATACAAGTTTCACAGGTGTTCAAGACACATATCAAATTAAAGCTCACTTCCTCATTTTTCATTTTCCTTTCAATTTTCAGGGACTTAACCGACGACTTTTGAAGATATTTCTCTCCAGAGAAAATCACCCCTCAAAACAGTCAGGGGGCCCATCGCCATTTTGAATATTGATGCCTACACTCCATTGCAACATAGAGCAATTTGGAGGGCCCCGTTTGGTCCAATACTTTCAGAAATACAAGCTGACAGTCCTTCAAACTCTGAGTGACTGGGCTTTATCAGTCAGTGCCGCCCCCTACTTATAAATGTCCTAGCTAGGCCCAGTCTACACTGTCCATCCCTTGCCTCTTTAAAGTGGAACGACTTCCTAGTGGAAAGAGTCTCGGGATATTGGAGCATTTCATCGAGACAAATGGCATTTAGGGAACATTGTAGTGTACAACACTGCCAACGGAAGATGCAGTACACTACGGATTTTTAGCCATGTGGTACACAATTTATATCCATCCAACCACGGCTGCTCACCAGTGCATTCTCGGCTTCTCTCTGCGATCGCCCAAACGCCTGCGACTAACATGGACAACGCATCAAGCCTGGTATTACCCACAGCGCCCACAGACTACGGTCCGGCGCTAAGCCGCCCCGACGTTGGCATGACCATTAATTCCATCCTGAAAATTATCTTTTACACCAGCGTGATGCTCCTAGGCATAAGCGGCAACAGCCTTATCCTCAGAGTGTACGGGTCCAAGCCCCAGAAGACCAGCACGCACGTCTTCATCCTAGGCCTCGCCTGGTTCGACCTGATGGTCTGCATTCATCGAGTTTACAATTTGGGGTTCTTTGCGGTGATTCTCCTCGGACGAAAATTGCCCAGCTTCTTCAAGGCGATTGAAATCGCCAGCTTGATCAACGTATACGCCTCAGTCATAGTGACGGGCGCCATCGCCGTGGAAAGGTACGACTGCGTGTGCCGGCCGAGAAGACGCCTGCTGAATCCTCGCAGAGCCAAGCTCGTTGTTCTAGGCTCCTGGCTTGCTGCGGCTGCTGTGTGTGTTCCATTCACCATCAACAAGATTTCCTCCTCCCTGACCGCCACCAAAACCTCCCTGACATTCCAGTTGGTTCTGTTCATGGCCGTGCTGCTGGTGATCGCAGTCTGCTACGGGAAGGTTTACCAAACGATCCGAAAACACTTGAAAATCAATGCGTTTCGTTCCCAGGGATTGCGGACCAACCGGTCGGCGGATGCAAACACCACAACTCGCAGAGGAAACAACTCCATCGGCACAAGCATCAACACTCTGGCAGCGCAGATTTCGACTGATACCGAAAGGGTTTCCGGTAGATTGCAACCATCCAGCTCGAATACCACCTTGGCAGTAGCCGTGGTAGCGGGGCCCTCGACATCGACGACGCCCACTGATGCTGCTGGGGACCTGCAACCCGTTGGCCGTGACGACGAGCACCAACCGGCGATACTCCAACCCCAAGCTGCGAGAGACATCCCGAATGACAGGACCGTGACACTCCAGCAGAAGACCACCCGGATGCTGTTCATTACCAGCGTGGTATTCCTGATCACCTGGCTGCCCTACTGGCTCTATGTCGCCGTCGCACTTCACAAGTACAATGGCGCGGACATCGATGACAACGTCTTGGTAGTCATGTACAACTGCACACTCTTCGTGTATATCAACAACGTCGTCAATCCTCTGATCTACGGGTTGTCCAACAGACGATTTCGGAAAGACTGTTTTGAGGTGCTTCGAAAACTCAAGCCCTTTTGAACAATTCCAGTCATCAGCACAATTATGCAACACAGAGGTCTTAAGATGGTCTTTAAAGAGAAAGAATTCAATCACCACGTACTCGCATCCCCATGAACAATTTTAGTTGACACAATTATCACGGAAATGTATTCAAAAGAGGACTTTTTAGCGAGTTCGGATCACTGCATAATGTTGTATACATTCAGAAGTATAATTCCATAAAGAGAAGAGAGATTCAGATGATGTAAGTAGGTATACTTTACACAGCACACCTCTACAAAATTACTGTTACCATTCCTATTTGTTTTAGACAAAAGTGAGGAAAAATGAATTATTGTACATGTAATTATCTTCTGTTTGTACTGACGGCACTAATTAATACTGTAACACCCAGATTTAACGCCCTATAACACCCACGATAGATAGTCCCAAATCTAGAAATCACAAACAGCACCCAACCCATGATATAATCCCTGGAAGAAATCAGACTGGATGGAAAAACTCCAGAACGAACCTCCTCCATTGACATGGGAATTCCACCTGCTGAAAAACTCCTTTCTGGCTCAGACGCAACGTGGACCCAGGGAAAAACACTGAACCGTCTGAGAACAAGAACAGGGTTGCTCTGAACAGATGGGGTTCCAAGACTGGACTAACCATCTGTGATTGAAGTAGACCACACCATGAAGCACTGTCTCGTTGGCCCTCTACTATCTAACAAAAAAGGCCTTGGCAGAGTTCAACGCACACAAAAAGACCTGTTTCAAAAAAGGGAGACTGTTGTATGAAATGCCGACATTTTGGCATCTAATCTGATTTTAAGCAAAATGCAAGGAAATGCCCGTTTATTGAATTTTGGAATTAACTGAATTACGCAAAAGTTCGTAGACCCTGAAGTAGACCCCCGTAGTTCGTAGAATGGCATACTGATCCCTCATCATGCCCCTGATAGGCTCGGATATCTAAAGAATAACATTCAGTCGAGCATTGTGCTTAAATCAGACAGGAAAAAGTTATTCCATCTCCGATCGCAGAGAACAAAATTCGTTGCTGGTTGACAAAATTAAACAAGGCGCTGAGTTAATTCCTCAACCAAAGAAGCTTTGCCTAAGCAAATATTCATTTAATTAGTACTTGCATTTGGTTGTTTTCCTCTTCCCCTGTCCCATTATGTCTTTTGTTGATGAACCAAGCATTTCTAATACTTGCCCGCTGATATCCTCCCTTCATCGAGTTCACAATAACGGCGAGGTTTGCACCACTCTTGCTAGATCACCCATCGTTAGTGCTCTTACGATGCATTTCACCCCAACTGTACTTTAACCTTTGTGATATATTTTGGAAACTGGTTTTATTTACACTTATCCTTCCCAAAAGGGCCATTAAAGGTTTAATAAAGAAAGTCGGAAATCCCCCTCAACAAAAAGCCCCCTCCCTCCATAAATGTGGTTCTGGATGCGTCCTTGTCGGCCGTTGGGATCCCAACTGACCACTTCCACTTGTCTCCTCAATTCAACCGGAAAGAGACGAGTGAGTTCGAAAATCTGCAAGGACTACTGCATTCAGTTGTATACATGTAAAGGCTAGGCATGTCTGATACTCATATTTTAGGGCTTGTGCATCTAAATTGCTTTTTTTTCCCCAAGCAAATTAGAGATTTTCTAAGGTCATGTTCGTGCCACTGGTTAGTTGCTTTTTAATTAAGCTCACGCAACCCTGGTTCGTCCCTGGTCAGAACATTTTGTAAAATCTCACTGTTACCCACATTTTCCAATTCGCTGCAACCCTCGCGAAATTCGTTGTCATAACTCTCATGTAAATGGCTACTTAAATTGGCTACTGACAGTCAACAATAGGAATTATGACCCGGGGTCTGATTCCAAAATGGTCAGCTAGATGGTTCAAACCATCCCTCGTTCGGGTGACGTTGTCGAACTATGGCCAACTGTAGTCTTTGCTTGAACCTGCCAACGTCTGCAAACACAATTAAGTCGGCGTGCGAACAAGAACCTATCCGGTTCGTAAGTGTGACGTCACTTCAGTTTAAACCACGCCCACTGCACATGCTCTGCACATAGACCTGCATGCAGTGATTGCATTGATGCATTGATGGCGCGAACACGACAAGGTTTTTATCGCTCAAGCGTGCTCGGGCGTCAAATGCCTGTTTCAACCATTCATGTCAATGGGTGCGTTC